AAGTGCAATTTCTTTGTTTGGCGATCTCTACCTTCTCTCCTACTGCCTCTTTCTTAAGAAATTGTCATCAGCAATTCATTTTTACATGGGCTGCTTTCATATAACAGTACTGGCATATTTAAACATCATGAACGAAAAAAAAACTTCCCAAAAGGGTTTGATAAATTGCGACCATTACAATTAGACAAATTTAATAATAATGTTTTCCTTTTAAATTTATTCTTTGGAGCTATTGAAAACGTTGTAGGCAAACAGGCCATAGAACTTACGATTAATTATACTTTTTTTAAATGTAAATTATTATTATCACTATTGGTATTTTTCTTTTCTTTGGGTCTTGACTCGTAGAGTCATATGAGAGGATTTCTTTTTGTAATTATTTATGGGTACTATAGTAATTATTTTATTTGATATGAGCACATGTATTCCACTGCTTTAATTCAAATGTCCACACGATGAATTAGTTTATAAATTTGAAGAAATTTTATTTTTTGTGCCAATCTTCGTCTCCACCCTCGTTTCTATAATTAATTATCCAATATTTTATGAATTTTTTTTTATTTACAAGGAGAGGAGTAGTTTTTTAAAATTTTATTCGCATTGCTTTTTTTCTAGGAAACAAAACATACTTTTAAGTGCTTCGTATGAGCATAAAAATGAGAAATCCTATTATGCATTTGCTTTACTTGAAAAATTAACAAGCACCCAAAAAAAGGGGATCCTTTTATGCCATTTTAGTTACTTCAAATTTGAAACAAATTAATAAGAAAAAATAAATCGAGGATCCATGGCAAAAATCAATATGGAGTACAATTACTAACCCCAAAACTTGAATTTGCCAAAAATCAAAAAAATAATAAAAAAAAAAACATGTTAATATATTTACCAAATCAATCTAATTCTGTTCCTTAAGTAACATAAAAATGATAATGAAGTCCTCTGAGATGCTGCGATGTGAAAAAAAAAAAAAAAAAAAACATGTTAATATATTTTAGCCAACATTTATCTAATTCTGTCCTTTATAGTAATGTGAGTCATTAATTAAATTGATGAATGAAGTCTCTGAGATGCTGCTGAGAGACCATTATAATGTGCATTTTAGCAAGAATTTGATCAATCATTGCAATTTCATGTTGTAAAGTGATGTGCCAATTTGATTATGAAAGGAACTCCTTATTTCAATGTGTCCATCTTACATTCATACTTACTTACCAGCACCTAAATTACTATCTATATGAATAAGCAATTCCCCCTATTTATTTATTCATAGTTAGTGCCATTTTCATTAATTCACATGTATTGAAACTAATTTCTTTTTTTTAAAAAAATATCTCTGATGTATAATTAACATTATACATATAAATTAGTCCAATATACGAATTATCAAACTGAAAACGGTTTCAGATATGGAGCATAAGAACATATATATTATTTTAAAAATATATGATGATTACACCAACAATATATATTATATTGCAGTTGAGTGGTTTTGATCTCCTCTGGCTCTGCTAATTATCCTGATTAGTTTTGAGTTTTATAAAGAGCAACTTAATCCTGTGGATGATCAAACCGACCAAAGTATAATTTAATAGCAATGTGAATATTAAGTTTATGAAAAAACGTTGACTTGAATGCACTTGTGTTCAAGGCAACCGCAAACTTTTTTTATTTTATGTTGAGAATTATAAAATAAATATAGCCCTAATCCTCATGTAATCCCTTCTAATTTTTTTTTTTTTTAAATCCATATTAATTATTATCGGGTAAATAGACTAATGACCATTTGGATTTCTCTTCTCTTATAAATTTCTGATGTATATATGTGCAAAGGAAAAGGTAGTTCTAAATTTATTGTAAAGATAGAGAAGGTGAGATTACTGTAGAAAGTAAAATTTAATGTCCTACAGGGTCGTTTTTAAAGTTGTGAATGGAAATTGTGCATATAGTGATGAATTATAATGATACTTTTCTGTGATATAGCTATAGCAAGGTTCTAGGCGTAGTGCTTGTTAAACTTGGTAAGATACTTCTGTAATTGGCACATCATTGAGATATGCATGGATGCACCCTCAGTTTCAACAATGACAGATTGTGACTCCAAGGAAAATGACTTATAGGCTTCTAATTATATGAAATTGAAGGACATAAAAATGGTTATCAAGATTAAAGTTTTCTGTTCCTTAAAAATGCACTGTCCAGCTGCATTTTTAAACTTTCATAAATATTTCTCGACCAAATCAAACCTTAATTAATAATAATAATAAAAGATCAATGGATATTAGTTTAAATGGAAAGAACTCGTGTCTTTTAAGTAAGAGATCAAGTGTTTGATCCTTATGAATATAAAAACATTTGTTGGTAACAAGTTTTTATCCTTATCAATTAAATTAACTAAATCGAGTATGAATACGTACCTCGTACCATTTTTGAAGTCATGATTGAGTTTAGTAATATCCGTAGCTCTTTAACTTCTAATTAAAAAACTAAGGTAAAAGTTATAGTTAGGTACTCAAAAACAATTTCTTGTTCCTCTTAATTAAAAATAATCAAGAAATTTATATGTGCAAGTTAGTACAAAAAAATTATGTATACGTATATGCAAGATGATACCTTTGTTGGGGCAAACCTTGTGGATTTGGAATTAAGTTTTAGTTACTATAAAAATTTGGATAATCTTTTTATATGCATAGCAGCATTTAATAACTTCCAAGATGATTAGTGTTATATGCTAGCTAGTTAAAAGAAAAAAAAAATAATTTTCTTGAAATACATTAAGCCTTGCAAGAAAAGTAATTTAATTATTTATCAAAAATATATTTATGTATACTTCAGCACGTTCATGTTTGGTTTGCCAAACAATATATGATCTTCTCATGCCAGCAGATAGAGAGAGAGGCCCACAAATGTTAGAGACATTGCAAACATAAACAAACAAATTATATTTATCTAAAATTAATCATAATTTACAAGGAAAAATTAATATTTAATTACTGTTAAGTTTTATAATAAGAAATGCGTAAAATTTTCCTTTAATTTTTATTTACATAAAGCATAGAATTATGATATCAAGAAAATTAAAAAAAAAAAAAAGAAAAAAGAAAATGATAAATAGGCAAAAATATATTATAGCAAGGATTTATCAGTTAATTGAGTTATACCTAATTAAAAGAGAGAAAAAAATATCAAGCATTAATTTGCAAAGGAAAATAAAATAAAGGATTAAAATTTAATTAAAAAACCCAACAATTAAACAAGCTGTCTCTCTCCAAAACCATATTGCATGTGATGATTATTAATTACTTCCATAGGCAGCATTGGAAATTCTTCATTAAGTTCTTGAATAAACCCATCTAAATCTGCAAATCCTGCTAAAAACCCACCTGAATTTGCACCATTCCACATTGGATCTTCTTCTTCTTCCTTAATTACCTTATTATTATAATTATTCATAAACCCAGTTGTAACTAGCTCCATTTTCTTGTTGTTGCTAGTAATTGATGGCTTCGGCTGCAGATTTTCTTGTTCTTGATTACTAACAGTTCTTGGTTTCTTGTTCTTGAAGTGGGAACCCTTTTGATGATGATGATGATCAGATGGTTTTCCTGTTAGTCTCTGTACCAACTCTCTGAAGTTGGCAACATCAGTTTTGATGATTTCAGGGGCAAATATGTGAATTATCCTAATCTTTGGCTTGATTTTGGAAATTCTTTGTGAATCTTTATGCATGGCTAGCGGTGATGGAGGTTGTTTCTTGATGATCATATCCTCCATTGATGAAGACTTTTCTTTTTTTTTTTTTCTGTTTTTTTCTGATGAGAGAGAGAGAGAGTTTTTTTTTTTTTTTTTCTGATGGAGAGAGAGAGAGAGAGAGAGAGAGAGAGAGTTGGTGTAGTTGTTTAGAGAGGAAGGAGGGGGTGACATGGTTGTATATATATAACAGATAAAATGAAAAATATAATAATTTATTAATTGTTTATGTGAAAGGACAAATGGGAAATTTTAAAGAAAAAAACAAGCTGTCTGTTGAGAGGGAGAGAGAGAGAGGAGATTGGATGAATCCTTGTCTGACAAAATGGCAAAAGAGTCAATAAAGTAATAGAAAACCCTAATGGTCCCCATTTTTCCTAATTAATATTTCATTTTGATAAAACTGTTTTTGTTTATTTTTCTTTTTTAATTGTGACTATGAGATTTGAATTATTATAATTAATGCCTTTGGCTAAAAAGGTCTAGCATATTTCTAATGTTTAATTGAGTAAATTAAAGCTTAATTAAAGTCAAATCAATATAAAAAATATTATTTCAAATGAAAATTAGGGAAAAAAGCTCCACTTTTTAAATTGAAATTAGGAATTCTTAGAGAAATTTAAGATTTAAATCTTAATTAATTAATTAATTTTTTTTAATTCAGTGGCATTAGAGTTTGCTTCAAAATTATCAGATTGTTAATTTAAATTTTAATAGACCTAATTAACCAAAAGAGAAAAAATTAAACTTACTTATAGTTGAATTAACTGTTGAACTTAATTTTAACAACATGAGATTAATTTAACTGTTGAACTAACTTACCAACATGTGATTAATTTAGAGTTACTTAAGTAAAATAATTTATTTGAAAACACTCGAAAAATATTTATATTTGGAGATATTAAATCCATCTAGAAGAATGCATAAGAGTAATTACATTTATTTATTTATTTTCCCTTCATATACTACATTTATTTTTTTATTCATTGTGAGATCCGAAATAACACTACAGACTATACAATATGGGTAGAATTCACATGAACTTATCAAATTGGTAAAAATACTTTTAGTCAAAAGAATTCGAACTCGAGACCTTCCACTTATCACATAATTCAAGTTATTGAAATTAGATGCAAAGGGAGGAGTCGCGACTGCCTCCTAACTCCAAAAGTTTTTAAATTTTGATCCTGCAAAAAAAAAAAAAAAAAATTTATTTAGCCCTTCCAAATTTTGAAAATTTTTTTTCTCTAAAGTATATGAATGATTAGGGTATTGTGAGTAATGAATAGGATGTTCCCAACCTATAATTAGGGCATACATAAGCCCTAAAAATGGCAAGTGTGTGTGATTTCCACTACTATTTATGATGAAAGGAAAGCGCGTAGTTGGAAATATATAAACAAATTGTCATGCCTTGCATAAACCATTACCCGTACCATATCCGCGTTTCAAACCTAATTTCTGATTTTTCTTTCTCCATAATTATTTTATATACCTATTAAAAGGTACCAAAAATAATTACTATATATCTTAATTTATTTTCTACCTTGAAGAGTCAAAATTTTAATGAACCGCAACAAATTTATCAAAATGGCTTATGTCATTCTGTTCGAGATAATTTATATGTAAAGAGAGTTTAAATAAAGTATCGACATACTTTTTGACATTAAAATAAATAAATAACGTCTTATTATAAAATTAAATATTTTTTTATACTTATTATTATGTAATTGCGCGCAAGTAATGTTAATTAAGGGAGAAATGTGAGAAAGGATATATAATAGCCATTTGGAAATCTTATGGCAACCCAGCTGTATTAATGGTGGCTTGCATGATGGAGATGGAATGCACCAAATAAAACAAATCTCCTTCAAATTTCATCAACTTAATTAATTATAATCACTTTCTTTTAGGTTGTTTCACCAAAAATGGAGATTTGAAATTGCTGAGATTTCAGTCCAATTGTACACTCAATGTTCAAATTCTAGTTCCGCTATTGGTTTTGTTCGAAAACAGAAATTAACTTTTAGCATTTCAACTAATTTTATCTGGTTTAGTAACATAATATTTATAATAATTTCTTTTTTAGTATCAGAAGAAAATGAGGATTCAAACTTAAATATATTGTCAGATCGTATATTCACTTACCAATATGCTATGTCTTGGTATGCTAGTATTTACAATAAATTGATTACTATCCAGTCATGATAGATGGGAGTGTGATGTTCGGCTTGGCAAAAAAACACACACTAATGGACTTGACATATCTTCTAAATATAGAGTCAGTTTTGTTATAAAACGTTAAATACTATAACATTCAACATTTTGCAGAGATTAATTAATTTGACAATCAATACCAATTATTTTTTCTTTAATGTCAATTAATTAAGCAACTAATGTCATTTTAAGTTAAACAATTAATCAAACATCTATTTTTACATAATATTTTTAATTTAAATTGCTATATGAACAACTATTAGCTAGCTAGTATATCAGCTAATATCAAACAGACTCTGTTAATTAATTAAGTTCATAGCTCTGAAATTAATTAAGCTAGGAAAAAAATAATATGTAGATAAAAAGGTAAGGGAATCTCAGTTAAAATAGTTAGACTCCGTTTGTTTTCGTAAAATAACTTATAGGAAAATAATTTGCTGAAAAATATTGTCCAAATGACTTATTTTCTGTTGTTTTGTTGTAACATTCAAAATTAGTTAAAAATATTAAAGCTTTTATCTCATAAGACCATAAAAAATATTAATTATAGTAAGATTTTTATAATTTAAAAATTTTATTGTTAAATATGAAAAGAATGAAAAAAAATATATAAATTATGAAAGTCGCCGGTGGTAGTAACTAAAAGTGGTGGTTAGTGGTAAATAGTGATTGGCGGTAGTAATTATGATGATTAATAAATTAAAAAGCATGGATTTATAAGGTTTGTCAATGTCCGCAAAATATTTTTCTCTCGAAAATGAGAAGTTATTTTTCTTAAAAAATGACTTAATTTTCCTTTGACCATGAAAATATTCTTCGTTGACTTATTTTTCTGAGCGCCTCAAATAATAAAAAATTATAAAAAATATTTTCGTTACAAATTATTTTACATAAACAAACGAAGCCTTAATTGGCTTGAAAGTATTCCTTTGTCTCTTGCTTTCGTATTTTAATTAGCTACTATAATTAAGGACTAATCTGCCGGTTGTACAATTAATTGCCACTGCTTACTGTCACTGTTGGAGCTTTCAAAGAGTGCAAATGGATTTCAAAATCAATTTCTCCTTTGATTAATATTAATCAATTAATAGTGTTTTTCATATATATATATATATACTGTCAAGAAGAAGGCAACAAATATTTCTTCTTCGTTTCCGTACTCATTGGCTTTTTATATTTTGGATCCAATGACCCTCCTCAGAAAATGAAACTCAGTTGAGATGAGATTTGGGCATATTGAAAAGGTCATAATTGCAGTTGGCACTTGGCAGGAGAATAGTAACCGTGAGATGTGCACGTGAAGGCATGAAATGATATCTGACGGCAAATGGTTTAGCGCGTCAGCAACAGACTCAGAGAGCGCATACGAGTCTCGTGCCGGCCCACTCTCAGTGCCAAAACTGAAATCCACGTGGCAAAGAGCGTGCAGCCACGGATTCCCTTACCGGGAGTCAGCCAGCCAGCCAACCAACAACTAAAGAGAACCAGTGGACCCCACTGTTTGACGTGGTTGGTTCTCCTGCACGACTCACACCGTATTTGGATTCTTGGAATATTGTTGCAAATCTTTACGAGTGCTTTTCATTTTCTTTCTACTCTCTTCAATATTTCGAAATTCCATTTTAAAATAGGATTTTTTTTTTTTTTTTTTTGAGATGAGTAATTACTCTTCAATATATCTTATTTTCTATTTTTATTGGGTTGAATTCTTCAAATGAGCCGATGTACTTTATAATGTATTTATAATTATATATATATAAAAAAACACATCTTATTGGGAAAAAAAAAAATCTTACTCTATTTTATTTATTTTCTGGAAGAAGGTAGAAACTTGATGTGTAATTAAATTTAATTTTAATTTTGATGGTTGGATATATGTATGTATAATTGAAACTGATTGAAAAGTAAGAAGGTGGGGGACCTTGACTTAGCAAGTCGATGTTCTTTTTAACCGCCCCTCCATACATAACATTCAATTCTTGCTGTTAGAAGAGAAAAATAATTACCGATAGATTAATCACTAATTACCTTGTTAAAACAAATTCTACAAACGATATTCCTATATCCCAATTTGTTTTTTCTTTATTGATCTTTGTTATTGCCAGTCTACATGCATTTAACCTTATAGTAAAATGACTAATAATATAAAAAATTCAAATCTTTTTGAAAGATTATAATTACACCTAATTCTTTTGAAATATATTATTTTATCTATAATTTCAGAAATTAATTTTAATTGTGCCTATTTGGTCAAAATTAAAATGATATATTGCATAGTGCCAAAGCCATCAAGAAGAGAAAAGGGTGCTATTCTTTTATTTGGAATATATAAGTATATATATATATTTGAAATCCAAGGTAAAACAATATATTATCAAAAGATTTTGGTATAATTGCAAATTTTTTTTTTTTTTTGTGTCATTTATTGAATTTTTATTACTCCATTCCCAATATTATATCTTAGTGAGTAATGGGTGAAGTACATTGTAATGATCACATAAGGGTCATTATCCAAAGCAAAGCAAGTAGCTAGTATCTTAATTAACTATACCTTGTTAACACTTTTCAATCCTCGTGCTTAGACAATGAAAATGAGAGGTTAATTAATTGTTGGATAATTAATTTAATTTAATTTTTAATGGGGAGTATAATTTGATTGTGTGTATGTGAAGGGACATAGTAGATAGGATTCTTGACTAATTAGTAATTAGCCACCAAATCATTAATTATCTAAAATAGGATGAAGAAGATGTTGGTGGGAAGATATGTTTTCATTAATCTGCACACCTCAATTTATACGGATAAATAACGTAATTAACTCATAAACTACAGCCTATCATTAAGCTATTTATAAGAGTAATTGATATACTTTACAAATCAGTCTATTATCTAATTATGGTAGAGATAAATGTAGATACTTTCCTTAATAAATTATGAATAAACAAAAGTTTTAATAGGGTTATGTCGATGTCCATAATACAAATTCTATCATTAGTTAAAATTCATAGCTTTCTCACAACAAATGGTAGAAAATTGGATGAGATGAGAAAGGCCGAAAATCGAGTTGGGCTGGGCCCATATCAAATGTCTATTGCAATTCCGTTAGTGAGGATAGGATGTAAGTGGTCGGATCAGCTGACTTCAACATCCATCTTTGTGGTTGAGGAGGAGACTGCCTGCAAATTCTCTTATTATTCTTGCTTTTGTTTTGCGGGGGATATAGGGGTCTTTATAATTGAACAGCCCTAAAACCCAAAGTAAAATTATTATAATTCTTTAAAATTTGAGAATTTGATTTGGCTTTGGCTTGTTAATTTTAATAAACCGAACTATCAGTCAACACCTAACTAAATCAAATCTAAGTATATTCTCATAGGTTCAATTGGATTGAGCACCTTTCGTGGTCCATCTGAATTTGAATTTTTATAAACCTCATCATAGATTTTCATTTTGGCTCAAGAAACAAGTCTTACATTCATTATAGAACATAAACTTAGATTGTTCATATTGTTTCTACCTGGGTGGATAAAATTATTCCAAAATAAGTGCATATAAGATTTTAACTTAATTCAACACAATTGAACTGCCTAAATTACTGAGAAAGCAAATCCAAATTCCTAACAAGTAGTCCAGAACTTGCAACACCTTCATTTTGCAAATTTTTCTAACAATCAAAACTTGTTTTTGTACCAGAACACACCTCTGCTTTGATCAGCATCATCTGGTTCAACGTAAATGCACTCTTTTGCCTCTCTCCACATTGCCTTGAAGAAAGGAGTCCTGTCGAATTGGTAATATTCTCCCAGAATTGGTTTTATGGCATTTGTAGCCTCCATTGCATGATAATGTGGCATTGTAGAAAACAAATGGTGAGCTACATGAGTGTCTGTAATGTTATGGAATACCTTGTTCAAGATTCCGTAATCTCTATCAACAGTTGCGAGCGCGCCTCTCAGCCAATCCCACTCAGAAGAATCATAATGCGGCAATGAAGGATGAGTATGTTGCAGATATGTGATCATAACAAGAAATGCATTCACCACTAACAAAGGTACTCCATAAACGCAAATAACCCAAGCAAAGCCCTTTGCTAGAGCAAGACGGTAGAGACCATAAGTGACAGCAAGAACACCAGCATCAGAAATGAATATCTCAGTTCGCTCGCGATCATTGTAGATAGGTAATCTCTATCAACAGTTGCGAGCGCGCCTCTCAGCCAATCCCACTCAGAAGAATCATAATGCGGCAATGAAGGATGAGTATGTTGCAGATATGTGATCATAACAAGAAATGCATTCACCACTAACAAAGGTACTCCATAAACGCAAATAACCCAAGCAAAGCCCTTTGCTAGAGCAAGACGGTAGAGACCATAAGTGACAGCAAGAACACCAGCATCAGAAATGAATATCTCAGTTCGCTCGCGATCATTGTAGATAGGGCCATATGGGTCAAAGTGACAGGCAAATCGGTCATAATGCCTGCCTGAAACATTAAATGCTAGGTATAGCGGCCAGCCAAGGGCAAGTGTTATGGTAAGAGTGAATAGGCGGCCTGGTAGGTTGTTAAGGTATTTGGAGAACCAGCGGATGTTGGATTTCTTTTTAGGGACAAATACTTCATCTCGCTCAAGGGAACCGGTGTTAGAGTGATGACGGCGGTGGCTATGTTTCCATGAAAAGTAAGGGACAAGGAGACAGGAATGGAGGAGAAGGCCAACTATGTCATCAAGCCATTGATAGTCACTAAAGGCATGATGCCCACACTCATGTGCTATAACCCAAATGCCAGTGAGGACACAGCCTTGGAGGGACCAGTAAATTGGCCAGGCCACATAAGAGAGGGGTTGAGGAAGGAGGTGGAAGTAATTGGTGGCAACATAATAAAAGATAAAGGCAAGGGTCAGGTCATAAACAACATACGAGAATGAGCGGAGAACAGAACGCTGGAAACAATGAGGTGGGATAGCTTTCTTGACCTGACCAAGTGTGAATGGTGGCTTCGAGTATGGAACTCGTTTCAAGACCTCAGCTTCCAACTTCTTGGGGGAAGGAGGAACAGACATTCTGCCACCGGCACCCATTGTTGCACAACCTGAAAAAATTAAGTAGATGTTGAGTTCCTATATGATGGTATATGTATAAAATCAATTCCCTTAATAATTGGCAGTTTAGGAGCAGATATGTCTCCCAGTGACAAATTACCACATCAACAATCAAACTTCGCACAGTAATGAGCTTAAAACATGTAAAATTTCAACTTCAACCAAAACATGCCAAAATTCAACTTAAAGAAAAAAATCCACTTAATCCTACAGGCATCACAATGATAGAGAGTTCCTTACACAGGCATCAAGATATGAAAGAAACACACAGCATTTGCTGCATAAATGGATCTGTCAATCACTTTTACTGAGTGAAGATGAGAGCATTACACCAATTATAGGTACTTTTTAAATGGTGTAAGGCTAGAATAGCAAATCAAGCACTAAAATCAGAAACAGATGCCGATTAAAATATTGGCACAAAAATTATAGTGTCAGATATGGTATATACTGCGTGGTTTAATATTGGCACAAAAATTATAGTGTCAGATATGGTATACTGCGTGGTTGGTAAACCAAGTATCAGACCGTCTTAATCAGCAAGAAATCCCTTGTACAAGCATCATAGGCATTCTCCCACTTCTGCTGAGTTTGACCAAACAAGAGCCACCATCTGTAAAACCATACAATTGCAAATGAAATTGACTGCCTGCTAATTGACTCAAAGACTGCTCGGGATCCCATGGAAACAGAAACCCCAGTCGGAGATTTAGCAGGCTAAACCTCAAGCCCCTAGGTAAAGGTTAAGGCTTAGCTAGGCTTTGGATGACAAGTGGAGAGTAATCAGGGTCAATCGATCTGTTGCCAATCCTTGTCACAATATATACAATATATATATATTATATATATATATATAATATATAATATTATATTTATATTTAATATATATAATCCATTGATAAAACAGCTCTGTGCATCTGACCAAGACATTATATTAAACATTTTAACAGACTAATCACATACTTTAATGCTGGACCTTCTCCTTGCTAAGTTTTTGCAGATACACCAAAAACTTTTAAGGAAAGAAGTTGTCAGGTCTCCCCTCAACCTCCTACATTGGATTTCTTTTCTTATTGTACTTGTTCTTAATGGAACACGATCCAAATGTTCAATTACCCTTGTCACAAGAGTATATCATATAGCAAAACAACAGTGAAACCTTTACTCAGAGAAGCTAATTATAATTTGTTTAGAAGCAAATGCAAAAATGGGAAAAGTGGAAAGCAGAGGTGAGCCCATGTGCTCGTTAAAGTAGCAGTAGACATCCTCATGTCCCATGTAATACAAGACCAATCACAGAATATGCAGTAAAGATTGACTATTATCACCAAAAAAAAAAAAAAAAAAAAAAAAAAAAAAACAGTTGGAACATGAAAAGTTTTATTTTTCTTTGCTGTTAAAAAAAAAAAAAAAAAAAAACAGTTGGACATGAAAAAGTTTTATTTTTCTTGCTGTTAGTCATTTGTGCCTTATATGGTTATAGTAGCACTAAATATTTTATACAGTGATACTAATGACTAATGATATCCATGGGAACAAGAACATATATATCGCAACAAATAAAAGGTTCTTGAATTGACATTAAAGTGCTAGTAGATGCAATGGTAATAATTTATAATTAGGTGTTGACTCACATTCTGGGGTCTATTTAAAGCACTTACTGTAAAAAATAAGGAGTGCAATTATTGCTTTACCGTGAACTAAATTCTTTCTTTTGGTAAACATCAATTTATTTTTTTCAATGGACAAAATCTAACACATCTGTACAGGAAACTTAAAATCCACCTCAAAAGGCATTAAAGATTTATACCGCAAGAAAATAAGATCCAACTGAGTCCACAAAAGATGAGGATGTGGTCTCATCAATAAAGACAAGAAGCCAACACTACATCCATAATTCCATACTATGGTATTTTGTGGTCACTATAAGCAATTATTCAAGAATAACCAAATTTGGATTGTCCAAACTACTTGAACCCCATTCTACGAGTTGTGGTGGGGTAACCAAGCCATGTGCATCAAGAAAGGAACCTCACTCAATGGATACTAATGAGCCATGATATATGCTATATGACCACATTGTCTGACATGCGATTGACAGCATGTCAAGTCAGATCTAATTGTATAAATTAGATGTTTGATTCAAAATATACACCTAAAAAAATTAAATATCCTACTTATGATAATGTCAAAAAAAAAATATCCTACTTATGAACCTTCCTTAATTATTTGATATACAATCCAAATGACCCATGCAATGACCTGGAGAGTGACAATCATTAAACGAAAATGTTTACATAATCCATTGTTACAGATTAGGGTGGAGCAGGTACAAGAAACAAATCAAATCTTCATCTCTATTCTGGGGAAATTATTAAGTGACTGCAGAAATAGTACCACCTGAAATTATAGCTAAATGATTTCACCTAAATATGAGAAATGGATTCACTGGATGTACCAAATAATTTCCCCTATTTCTTCATATGGTTAGCGCACTAATGACTTATACTGCACACTATAACGCATCCCAGGGCTTTTGGTGCATCTTCTCTTAAAAAAGAAAAAGAAAGGAAAAAAGAAAAAAAAAAAGATTTCGGCGAGAAAACTGGTCTTACCAAAGTGGCCAACCTTCAATTCATTAACTACTACCTGACATCAACCACCAATAAACTAGAACGCTAGCACACGGCGAACCACTTAAATTAACAGACCAAAAATCATCTTTGACAATGACCGCCTCCCTCGATTCCAATAAATGAGAGACTTGCATGTGGTGGGTTCTACACAACAAAACAGAAATGGGTCCCACTCCACTGACCAGCTGCTGTTCGACGCTAACAAATGATTCATACCCCCTATACAATGACCTAGTTGTACAGTCACAGCTATTGAGGGGCCAAAGCCAACTATTTTGACCGTACGAATTCTGGTGAAGGGAATGATTGCTAGCGAGTGGCAAATTGTTAGGTATAGTTACATATTTTGACAGTAAACTTTTCAAAATAATTAATTATCATACATGTAATACTTTTTTTTTCCCTCTGTTCACAATCCCACCGCAAATGATGTTCGATTAGATAGTAATAGTATATTGAAAGGAAAAGTATTAATGAACCAAAAAAAAAACAAAGGAAAAGTCTTTTACTTTCTCATATTTTATTAAAAAGAGGAGGTTTACTTTCATTTACAAAACCGATTAATATATTTTTTTTAGCTTAATTAGTGTTTCGTAGAGCTAGCCTAATTGAAAAGATGAATTCCTACAATATAAAAAAGAAAAAACAAAAGAAACCAATCAGGAACCCAAAGCAACGAAGTACACAAGAACATTTAACAAATAGTAGGGGTAAGTATTAGAATCAAGATGCCAATATGCTATATATGGGTTCTCTTTTTTCCTATTATTTTTTTTTATAAGCAATTAAGCACAAAGTTTGTTAACAACAAAACAAAATCGCTTTCAGAGTATTCTAATTGAAAAATAAGGCCAAACAGATACAAACAACAGTGTAAATGAAGAAAAATTAAACAAAACTAAGAAATAATAAAAAAAAAAAGGAAGTATCATGCTAAAAACTAATATGGAATACAACTAAATGTGAAAGCATATAGAGCGGAGATCACGTGACCGGCTTCAAGAAAAGGACGACAGTCGACAGATACACGGATCGATTAAACAGAGAGAGCCTCGAGAACAGAGCAAAAGTTTTTTTTTTCTTTCGTAACAAACAGGCAAAAGGTTAATAAACCCAAACAATACTAAAGAAAAAATAAAACAAATTTGAAATAGATTCAATATGGAAACTTAATGTCGAACCAAACCGATAATCTCTAAACAATATTCAAGAAAAAAAATTTTTTTAAAAAGAAGGCTTCAATATGGAAATTGATTTCAATATGGAAACTTAAAAATGTCCAACCAAAGCGACAACTCTCTTCCCAATATTCAAGAAAAATTCAAAAAAAAATCAAAAAATCAAATCTAAAATCGAAAAAGGAAGATCTAACATATCTGTTGCTGGTTTTCGCCTGGATCTAATTTACATTACAGAGCAGAGTTTGATGGAATGGAAAACGAAAACCAAAATGCGAATGCGAAAAATTCGAACCGGCCATAATAAGAACATAAAGGAAAATGACAAAGAAACGCAACAAAAAAAAAAAAAAAAAATCCCATAATACAGAACATAAAGGAAAAATGACAAAGAAACGCAACAAAAAAAAAAAAAAAAAGTGTACCTGAAAGAAAATCCAAAAAAAAAAAAAAAAAAAGTGTACCTGAAAGAATCGAAAGCTATCCGCCTCCTGCGTCTCTCTGTGTGGCTATGGCCGTAGAAGGATACCGGCCTCTGCTCAAAAGCATGCAAAGAAGTGGGCGGTACTTAAGCTTGCGCTCCTACCCTATACAGTGGTGTGGGGCCCACCATATGTCAACATGTTGTTTGGACTTTCCGCGGTCTGTCCCTTAGTTAAAAATCGCGACTTTCCTTGCTCATGTATCCTCTCTTTCCTTTAACCTGGTTTATATTAAGGGAAAATTACTATTTTACTCTTATAGTTTGGTAAAATATATGATTTTGTACCCTATATTTTTAAAAATAAATTATGTTATTTTTATATTTTTTTTCTCTATGACACTGTTTAACGCACGGCTAATTTCCATACATTTAATTTTACTTTCACGAATTATTATTTTATCTTTATATTTTTATTAAAGTTAACGGACTCATTTCCGTATATTTTTGTAATTATTGTACTTTTGTGATTTCTTATCTCCTCCAGATATTATTGCTCTATATATATTTTTTGGGAAAATATGTGGTACTTAAATTTTATCTTATTAACACTTTAGTTCTTATTTTTGAAAAATAATTATAATATCACTAAATTTTCATTTTTGTGATTTTTCTGTAAAAAAAAAAAACAATCTAACTATTGATTTTTAAAGCAATTTATCCCTCCATCTTCAATAAATAATTATGGCGTCCATAATTAAAATGTTTTTTCTTAAACAAAAATACTCAAAAAGAGATGGAAGCAAAAGTTAAGAAAGCCATAATTATATCCAATATTTTTGGAATCAAGCCGGACTAGTCAATTTGATCGGTTAAATCACGAATCGGATAGCTGTTTGGTTCGATTATAATGTTAGCTTGGTTTTAGAAAAAAAAAATCAGATGTTTTTGATAAATTCGGAAAATAACTGGATTTTTTGATAAAAAAATATATTTGTTCTTTTTTTTATAGTAAAAATATATTGTTCATTAAAAAAAAAAAGTGTTCTTATTTTTATATGTTTTTAATATGATTTGTGTGTTGGAGGAACTTAAATTTGAGCTTTCAATTTGAAATCAACCATCTAATTTAAATTTATAAATGTTGAATTATTATTTGGTTTTAAATTTTAAAATTATTAGTTAAAATTTTTTCTAGTTATATATATTATTTTATTATATAGGATGAATGGTCAATGAGAATGGTATATTATATATGATAAACTATTGTGAAATAATTTTTGGTACACTTAAAATATGCTTTATTTTATTTTATAAAATAAAAATTGGAAGGACTTTTAGAGCTAGGGGAAGGGACCAGGTCCCCCCTATATCTCTAGGGTATATTTCCCATGTATCTCAATAAATAATAAATAATTAACCTGAGAAAAGAGTCATTTTCAAGAAATAAGTGTTGTGTTGAAGAAAAATTATGTTTGCCACATTAACTTTTTATTTTGAAAATCAATTCACCTGTCATTGTATATTTATATGAATCATTTCCTTGTAACTGACTTCTGTTATTTATATCTTATTTTTTAGGAAACATGGAAAGCATAATGAAATGCTGTAAATAAAATAATTACTTTTTAATGCTTAAAATAAAAATGTTGATAAATATTTACATATATTATAATTTCTATATAAGATCAAGGGTTTAAAAAAAATGTACAAAGCGAGTTCAAAAAAATATTTTATTTTTAAAAAATACATATCAAATTAAAAAAAAATGAAATATGTAATTTGAAGTTGTTATTATTAGGAAAATTACCTAAATATCGCAGGGTATGATCTGGTTGACTTTTTCATATTTTGTAGAAGATATGAAGAGCCAAAAACCTCAAGTTCAAGTATCATCCATCACAAAAGTTATCACCGAATTACTGAATATAATTCAATGAAAAAGGTTATCCTGCTATATAGCTTATATATTTTTCCAATCCATTGGAGATCTTATATGTGTGTATATATATATATATGTAAAAAATATATATCTAAATACTACTTCTCATCCCAAACGAAGAAACATGTGTGCAAACAGGGGTGAGCAACCTTTGGAAAGAATCGAACACCGAACCAAATTGAATTTATTTTTATTTTTAGTTCGATTATTTGATTTTCGACTTCGGTTTTCAATCATTTATAATTTCAATTTTTATATCAATTATTGTAGAACATTTATTTTTTGAGTAAAATCAAATCGATATGTACCAAATGAACTGATCGATTTGGTTCAATTTTTGAACTAACTTCAGTTTAATTCAATTTAAAGGAAAAGCTATTTTCGGTTCTGAACCGAAACCCAGCTATGTTGCAAATAAAAAAAGTATTAATCCCTTACATTCTTAACATGGTATGCGTTTTTTTTTTTTTTTTTTTTAATTAAAGTTATTCTTAACATGGTAAATGCGTTTTTTTTTTTTTTTTTTCGTTTTTTTTTTTTTTTTCTTTCATTAAAGTTTCAAAATTAGCATTATCTTTTTAAAATTTTTTAACTGTTACATGTTTTGTTATTATATCTGGTTTAATTTTGTTTACAATCACAGTGTTACTTTATCCGATTGAGTTTATTTATGTTTCTATTTATATATTTTTTTTCTGAAAATAAGGGCAATTAATTATACATATATGCCCTTAGTTTTTATATTTAGACCAAATTTCAGAGATGGTATTCTGATAATAATATTAATATTCAGATATTGTACCTAAAAATATAGCCGACCTTGGTTGTACGTAGCTAATGTTGGTGTTGTATTTAATGCCATGACATGAATGTCCATACAATCCTGTCATCATCCCCAGCTAATCCTAATCCTAATCCTAATAATATTAATAATGGAAGCTTCTGCACTTGCAAAACGTGTTTTGTGCTTCTCCTTCCATGTGCAATGCATGCGTTTATTCCATCTATTTGATATATGACATGAATATGACAAATATATATCACCAAGTCAAGCATTAATATACTTTTTTTAACAATTATATGCTATTATTTTAAAATTGGAGCTTACATGTTTCAAATTTCAAGCATTAAAATCTACAATATTTAGAATCTTTTTGGTTGAATTGGTCGTAATTGATAATAATCGATATCGATATCGATAATATTTCTTAAAGCTAATAATGGAAGGAAAGTGTTAGCCTTTGGGTATATGTCATCTCAAATTCTTAGGCTGAATATATATTTTGGTCCCTTAACTTTACCATTTTTGAAACATTTTCAGTTTTGAGATTTCATATCCAAAGATACTTCTTCTTTATACCTCCCCGTATCTTCCCCTATTATCGTTTCTGTTCTTTTCGTGTGGAGATGATCTTTTACCCCTTCAGCCACTAATTAATTTCAAATTTTCCAATTCTTTAACATTTCTTCTCCGCTCAATTTCTAGAGGAAATTCGATTTCAAGCGGTTTTTTGTCAAAAATTCACTGATTCTCTTTATTTACATTGTGGGCCCGCTCCATCAAGGTTCGATCAAAAGGGTTACGATTACTTACCGTCTCACTCGTGCATTTTGTATACTTTTTGCCCGCTCCATCAAGGTTCGATCAAAAGGGTTACGATTACTTACCGTCTCACTCGTGCATTTTGTATACTTTTTGCCCGCTCCATCAAGGTTCGATCAAAAGGGTTACGATTACTTACCGTCTCACTCGTGCATTTTGTATACTTTTTGCCCGCTCCATCAAGGTTCGATCAAAAGGGGCGCGTGTACCTCATAGATGAAGTTTGAGATTGCGAAAAGAAAATGTTTCAAAAAAAAAAAAAGGGGCAAATTGACAAAATTGTTAAAGTTAAGGGGCCAAAATATGTTTTTATTCTAATTCTTACACGTCTTTCTATTTCGACCATATATACATGCATCGAGTACATATATATCTCATCTTAATGATTGTTTGGATGAATAGATGTTATTTAGTCGTGTGGGGTAATACTTTGAGGGAGATGATAGTTTTTTGAAAATTATTTGAAGTGTAAGCATATTTAAAAAACTTAAAATTTTCAAAATTATTCATAATTATATTTATAAATCTTTCACGATAAGAATATTTTCGTAATCTTTATATTAAACATTACTTTCTCTTACCATTCAATCAAACAAAATAATATTATTAAACCATCATTTACTATACTTTTTCCAAAAAAACATTTACTATACTTTTTCATAGCATGCTCTATTATACCTTAATTTGACGATCCCTATCTTCATCCAAACAAAGCGGCGGTCAGTAATTGATGCCGTGAAGGAAGCTTCGTGTAAGTTGAGTTGAGCAGGCAAAGCTTGTGCGGATAAGGAAATGGAAGTTGACTCGAAAGCTACTACCACTCTTTAAAAGGCATTTTCAAAATTCCTTAATCAAGCTCACCGCTTATTGGAGGTCAATTAACTTTTTTCTAGGTATTCAAACAAATCAAAATTCACTTTAAGTAATAGATCCTTATTGAGCAAAACAAGATATTTTTAATATACTTAACTTGTTGTAAGATCGAGTGATAATGAAATATAACCAAAATTAAGTTGACATATAGAAATTTTATTGTTGCCAATTAAAATATTGGTACTTTTAATGTCTCTGATTTAATTACAAATTAAAAACATAAAAATGAAATTTAATTTCTAAAAATTTCCAATTGGATAGTAAAAAATAAGGTAACATATATTAATTAATTTGTTAGTTATCTTTTGGCATACTTGTCAAAATGTAGAAATATCATGCAATTATAATAAAATGTAAAATTGAAAATGTTTTTGTGTAGAGTCGTAAGCTACTTAATAATACTTGTTGCAATCATACCAATATATAGAATGTGTCATTTGTTTTGTCTTATTGATAGCTTATAAAATTTTTAATGAAAAATTTAAATTTATTAATTTAAATTTAATATTTAAAAAATACATATAGGGTAGCTTTCTTTTTTAAATAATATTTAATAAATTGATAATAATTTTTTATGAGGAAGAATTCAAAGTCTGCACGGCTACATCCATTCGTCCATGAATCCAAAATCTACTGTGTG